CGCTTCCTGCACTCTGGGATTATCACCGAGGGCACTCGGACGGACATCCGCTGTTCATCTATGAAGACAACGAAGCCCCCGGCGGATCCACCCAGATCATGTGGTCCCATGGCCTCGATGCCATGCATCGAGCGGGACAATTTTTGAAGCCATTTATTTCCCTTCTACCGGGGCTTGATGCAGGCGTGCCCCTTGTCGTCGGAGTACTGTGCTATCGAGGTGCGATATTGTGGGGTTCAGTCGTCCTTTTGATATGATTCCGCTCTCAGATGTGCCTACCTCGTGGGCGGTTCTCACCGCAATCCTTCGCCATGGTGCAACGGCATTCATTATTTCCCCGATGAACTCCCCCGCGATGCTTGCGAGTATCCTCAAAAATGCCAACTGTGGACTTCTCGTTACGGGCAGCCAGAAGGCGACAGCTACTTTGGTCAGCACCGCTACCAGCCTTATGGATGAGGACCACGTCCCCCTGATTATTCAAGTGCCTTCGTATCAAGAACTTTATTTGTCGGAGGGCGTCCCCGTCGACGTTTTTCCACCCGCCGAAACCATAGATCTGGATGCGCCGGCGATGATCGTGCACTCATCAGGTGAGTAATCCAAGCCGTTGTACGCGGATCTTTGGCGATATACTGTAAAGGGTCATCCAACGGCACTCCAACATTGGTCACCTCTGCGCATCGGGCCTTGGTTAATCAGGCTATCATGACGTGTGCGTTTCCCCTCGTCGCTCGAGAACTAGCTCATCATTGGCCCGCAGACTTTGGAGACAAGGATGTATGCAACGTGGTGTGCGGGGCGCAATGCTTTCCCAGGTTCCGTACGTCTCCGCGTTCGTGTTGCGCTTGTGGCGTTTCCTGAACAACACCGGCATATCTGCGTATATTGCGGTATCAGTGAGTCGGTGGTTCCACGCATGTATTAACTACCCCGACGCTCAACTATTTCCCTAACAGAGTGCGACTGGCCATATCCCGACGATCTTTCACCCTCTCCAGGCGCCGGAACCAACCACAGCTGAGACAGTTCTCAGGTCGGCCGTCGCGTGCAAGGCGTATTATCTGTATACGCTCCCCAGCTTTATCGAAGTCAGCCACTCTCAAGCTCATGCTGTGTTGTACTGAACCTCGTGGTGCGTATGTAGGAATGGTCCAGAAGCCCGGAAGCCATCCAGCCCTTGCGCCAGTTCGAAACAATCGTGAGTTATTTGAAGTTTTTATACCCCTCGATTCAGCTACGGCAGGCCTTCTCGGGGAGTCCGTTGAAACCCAGTATAGGCAACTACATGGCGAAGCAAGGCTTGCGGCTTGTGAGCATGTACGGAACGTAGGTTGCTTTCCGCGAAGGGTTCATTCGATCCTTACACTGTGCCCCGTAGATCAGAATCCGGGGCAGTTAGTGCGATTAGATTCGGTAAGCGCTCTCCTACGTTGATGCCCTCTATCGTGACTGATCGCTCTGAAGGCGGAGACCCTGAAGATTGGGAATATATCCAGGTCGGTCGCGCTTCTTACGATGCTGACATAAATTTTGGACCCGTTGTCAGGCAACGCGTCAAACAACGGTTCTATGGGAACCACACGAAGAGTTTGAAGGCTTGTACGAGCCTGTCGTCTTGGTAAGTAGATCTTGCGTACTGGAATAACTCTCTTCCCTTAAACGCGCGAAGGAATCAAGATACCAGCGGATTTCGAAGCCAAACACGACGAGGCTCGGCGCGCCCGCACGTCAAACAGGCGACCTCTTCGAGAAGCATCCGACCAAGGACGGTCTGTGGCGTGTGTACGGAAGAGCAGACGCACGGATTATTCACTCGACTGGGGAAAAGGTGGGCGTCTATAACTCGAATTGTTCCTGCGCTGAGATTAGCCACAAGACAGACCCCGTTACGATAGGTCAGCTACACAACGAATAATTAACCATCCATTGTCTTACTTTACTAATCGTGCATTAGAATCCGTCCTTTCGAAACATCCGCTCATCAAATATGCGCTCGTCTTTGGACAGTGCAAACCCCGGGCGGGTTTGTTGGTATGGCCACACGAAGCAGTCCACGCAGACGATAGGCCGGCCTTCCGAGACCGAATCTGGTGAGCCGACCATATTTGTTCATATGCGACTTCGATTTGTTGATACTGCTTTAGGACGTCAGTGGACGAGGCAAATGCCGGGGCCCCAACACACTCGAGGGTGATCAAGGAGGTATGCAGAACACCCATTCGTTCACCCATCAGCCGGCATATGTAACTCCTTTCCAGACAATAATCGTCGCGTCCGCCGCAAAGCCGTTTGCGCTCACAGCCAAGCACAGTCTCCGCAGATCCACGATCCTGTTCGACTATGCAGAGGAAATTTCTGCGGTATATAGTGCATTTAATGCCGCTGCTCTTTCGTCTCTCGCAGTTTCGCCGCCGGCATCGTGGGGATTTGACGAGTGCCTGGGGTTCATCCGCGCAGTTATTGCTCGCGTGCAGGCGGGCGCTGAGTCTGATCTGCCTAGAGACGACGAAGATCTCTTTGAACATGGGCTTGATAGGTTTGCCACCATCTGGTATCGGGCGAAGATAGTCTAACCTCTTTGACGCAGTCTTCAAGTCCCTTTGGTCCGAAATGCGATTTCTCAAGCTCTGACGAAAAGGGGTATCGAGGGTCAACCCTTGCAAAGTAACGTTGTGTACTCACACCCTACAATGATCTCGCTCGCTCAGTTCCTCAGCGACCATGCCCGGGATCCGAACCAAACCCTTGCGCCAACCAAGGAGTCGAAAGCGCTGAAGATGGAGTCTATGTTGAAGGAATTCATCTCGCCTTCCCCATCCTACTTGCCCGCCAGAGTCGAAGTCGAAGGGAGGCGGCCCATCGCTGATGGTCGCATCATCTTGATGACGGGCTCGACGGGCTCGCTGGGTAGTCACATCCTAGCAAAGCTGATTAACGACTTGAGCGTCAAGCACGTGTATGTTCTCAACAGGATGTCGATGGCCAATGATGTCGACAGCATGCGCGCGCGGCAGACTGCAGCGTTCAGAACACAGGGGCTTCCTGAAATGGGTGCTGAATCTCCCAAGATCTCCTACCTGGCTGGCGATTGTACGCTTCCCAGTCTCGGGCTCTCTGCGGTTGTCCATAAAGAAATGCGCGACACAGTAACAGAAATAATTCACAATGGTGAGAACAGTGCATGCATTCCACCGAAACGTCCTGATTTATTCGCAGCTTGGACGGTAAATTTCTTGTTACCTCTCTCGAGTTTCCGATCTCTCCTTAAATCGTTGCGGAATATCCTGGACTTTGCACTATCTTGCGATAAGACGCACCCGCCCAAGTTCTTGTTTATGAGTACCATCTCAGTTGCTAAGTTCGCAACTACGTGTGAAAGTACACATACTTATCTCTGGACTGAGGCTGGATGGATACGACGGTTTTCCCTGCTCAAGTCCTACCCGATCCGTTCCCCGCAATCGGCCTGGGGTACAGCGAATCCAAGTGGATCGCGGAGCAGATGATACACTTTACGCGGGAGACAAGCCCGCTTAAACCAGTCATCGCTCGTTTAGGCCAGCTTTGTGCATCGTCCGCTGAGGGAGGGGGAAGATGGAACCCAAATGAGTGGTTTCCACTTATTGTCCGTTCTGCCGTAACGACGAGGTCGTTGCCTCTCCTCAACGGTGTATGTCGTCTCGCGCAACCCGATATCCTGTCCTGCTCATGGGCCTGTTGATTAGGATGTCTCTTGGATCCCGTTGAATATGTGTGCCTAGGGTCTGAGTGCCAAGTTGCTAAAGTCAAGAGACGAACCCTGACTGACAAGTCAACAAACCCTGGTTCAAATGTCTAGCAAGAAACGTACGACTTTTCAAACTTCCGACGATTCACAAGGAGTCAATTTGGCTCCGTGCCTCAACCGCGCCTAGTGATCTCCGGAGTCCGCATGCCCGAACAGTCAGCGTCTTCCTGTCTACTGCCCGGTCATCGTTCAATCTGGTTCAATCCCCGTCGGATCGAAATGCATCGCAACCCGAAGCACGGACATGAATAGCGCCAAACCCGGCTAAAAATGGGTACTCCGCAGGCTATATAAACCGGTGTATGCAATGGTGATCAGTATCTCTCACTCGCCTTTCACTTCTTTTTGAATTCTCTAACACAACTTGCTACTATGGACTGGTTCGGCAAAGACCACAAGGACACATACGATGCTGTGCGTTCGTATAGTCTACCCATGGCGTCCCTCATTTCATTCGTCTAGTTCTCCGCTGAAAACGCCAAACCTCACCACGAGGCTAAGTTCACACATGAGTTGATTGCTGGCGCCGCGTCGTACGAGGTATGCATGCGATCGCTAGCTGAATTCCGTGCCGTGTGCTCAGTGTACGTGGTCCCCCCCAGGCCGCGAGGGCGTACGAAAAGCACTGCGAGAAAAACGGCAAGCCCCCCAGCCATGATAAGGCAAAGGCCCTCCTTGCAGGCTTCGCTGGCGCCTTTGTCGACAAAATGGTCGAGAGCAAGGGTGTGCGTACCTTTTTTCCCTTGTCGTCTACTCCGGTGCTAAATGCTGCCCGTCTGCAGCTGGATTATTTGGACACCGCGAAGCTGAAGCATGACGGTATGTACCTCATGCGGCATTCCCATTTCCGTTCCGTCGCTCACGGACCGCCTAGCGCATGAGCACGCAAAAGAGAACCTCGCAAACGACTATGGACACGAAAAATATAACCGCAAGGAATACAACTCTGACAACCACCACCCCCGCGACATTGAATACGACAATAGCAGATTCAACTACGAGGGGGGCCAATTTAGATACGACGATCAAATCGTGGATTAGCCGCGACCCAAATTTCGTACCCAGCTTGTATCAGAACAATCTTCAGAATTATAAGAGACCCCAATCTGTCATGTTATTGGCACATGAATATTTAGCACCTTTCCAAAAAGGAGGAGTCAGGATATACATAGTGGGGCCACAAAGGATTTGTTTTCGGAGGCAACAAAAAGGCCCTAACCCGGAATTGAACCGGGGACCACCTCGAAGCGAATTAAATCCCTAACAAGGTATCATACTACTAGACCATCAGGGCTATGACGAGCTGCCGAAACTGTGGTGTATGAGGTCGTAGAGCAGATCGATGTAGTCTCGCACAATATACCCGTGTGCTCCGAATATCTCTCCAATAATCAGGGAAAATCAACCAAAAAGGTACTCTGCCAGTCAACTACGCAGTCAACTACGGTCACCCGGCCCGGTGTTGAGTTCCGTCTCAATGTCTCCGAGTCCGTCGGTTATGCCATTCTTGGCCGCTATCTAATCAGTGTTCGGAGAACTTCGGACTGACGACTCGTGTCATAATTAGTGGTAATTACAAGTCTCATGTCAGAGTTCACCAAAATTGCCTGTACGCTGCTCTCCAACTCACCCGCAGCGATAGAGGCTTCAAAAAGCTCTGATGCTATATTGAGCTCGATGGCTCGGAGCCTGGGAAACGCCGCTTGGTTTACAGTGCCCATCTGGCGGTCTCAGTGCGACCCCGATAAGACCATCGCCGTTAGCGGAACACATCTCACGTTCACAACAAGGTGCTCGACGGAGGCGGAGCGGAACACTGCTGCAACTGAGCTCAATTTAGTATGCATGTACCTACTCGGGACTGGTGTTCATCATCAGGTGCGTAAGGGCAGGGAGGTTCCATAATGTCATACGAGGGGGGCGGCGGTCGGAATCCCAACGGTTACCAGTGGCTGGGAAGAAAAACCGAAGTAATCGCCGCGACAAGCAGGGCGAGGTTCACATACATGTCGGGACACTTTTGAGTGTTGAACGCGAGGGAATGAGCAATTCAGAGACCGAGTAGAACAGGCTAGTGCCATCATAATGGAGCTTCCGAAGTCCGGTCAAGTCCAATCAGTACATGGGACGAAGGAGCCATTGAAAACGTTCCGAGAAATTTCAAGATGGTTCTAATTTTGAGTCACGAATGCATAACGAGTTGGCTTTGATGTGTCGAGGAGAAATTGAAATTCCGCCCTCGGACAATATTGCTACGGTATCGAGGACAAGGGAGTCGAACTCTGTGGTACGTTTGACGAAGAGGCGATCAAGATCGTACATGTGCCGAAGGCGCAACGATACCAGGCTGAGACGGCGAATGGTGAGAAGGCTCGCCGCCGCTGGAAGTCTCACAATATTAATGGGCTTTGCGGTGGTTGTGTGGCGAGCTCCAGGATCTCCGTACAGGACACAGTGGCGCGCACATTTCTCTTACCTTCGCAGCGAAAACTCTTTCAGTCTCTCACTTGTCTCTCACGTTGAAAGTGATGTGCCCGGGCCTTACCCAGGTGGCCTCCGGGTTAGCGGTGTCGCCACACATTTGGTCATATATTCGTGATGTCAACGTCGAATCGCGTTAGCTACTGGGGATGCGCGTACAGCTTTGTGGACGCAGCAGTTTCTCCTACGACGCTGCCGAAACCGATACCGCATTCAATTGGGCCAGGAGAAAATGCCGGTGTTGCGGGGAGTTGAGGGGAATTGAGGGGCGGTGGTTGTGTTTTTGCGGTGTCGCCCAAAAACCACGGATTCTAGTAGATTAGTGCTAATCCGCGGCAACAGATCTCGTCACCGGCTGCGGGCTTGCCCAAGGCTTGCCTCACAAGTGCAGACTTAGGTAAAACAGGGACCTAACTCAATGAAAACTGATGCTGCAGAGTTGAAAATTGGGGTGATTTGCACTCCAGCATTACGAACCATGTTCCAGAAGCACGGGTAAAGCACCTGGTATGCTTATACTGTAGTATTTCAATCAATTCGGCAGCGGGTGTGACACGTGACATGTTGAACCAATTCGTCAGTTCGTCAACCGCCCAGGCAGACCCGTGACATACCCGAAAATTTCGGCAGCCTTCAGATCCTGTCCCGCATGCCAAGGATGTCTAACACAGAATTTGAAGGTGAATTCAACAGAGGAAACATTTGGGAAACATCAAATTTAACAAAAGTTTGGAAACACCTGGAAATTTGGGTTGAAAACCCGGCGTTTTGCACCTGCGAGCCTGAAGTTGAGCATTTGAGAGCCCAAATAGGTTTCCGCCTTCTGGAACCGAAATTCGAACCTACCGTGACAAAAAGTCAATTCGTCAAGACCCTCAGTGACCTGTGACAACGACCAAAATTCGGCGCCGTCAGGGGCCTCCGTGACACGTGACTGGCCAATTGATTGAAATACTACAGTATCTCACTCGGGACTTGATAAAGTAGTTGGAATTCCCTGCATTTCCCCTCAATTTGTAAAATTGAGTTCAAGTTTTTTTTTGTCAGAAACCAATGCAATAGGCTTAGGCAAAGCTAACAATGCATGCTCAGAGCCTATCGAGTGCCCGTTGAAATGTTATAAGCCGCCCGGCACTTTTACCCCTCACAACCCCTCAATAGCACAGCCACCGCCCCTCAATTCCCCGCACTGCCGCCTCAATTCCCTGCAGCACCGGCACTTTCACCCAGCCCCCATTCAATTGGCCAGAACATTCCCGCTCTTCAGCCGGGTGCGGCGCTTTGTCATACAGGGCAGTAACCGGTGGGATCTGACCGACGCATTACGCGACGGACTCGTTTCAATCATGCGTCTCCCCACCCTTCGTTGCATCGGCTTCCTCCACTGCAGCGGCGTCCCTGCATCCTTGGTCGCTCATGGCTTGACCAGGTATCAGCAAGTTTCTTTCGCAGACAGCGACTTTGACCACACGAACATCCTATTCACGAATCACCACTCTGCCCGCCATATCCGTGGACCGCTCCGCTGCCCCTCTGACTCATCTAGCAGTTGCCTCCATGCCAGACGCCAAGCACACCATAATTACCGATCCGACGATGATCGCATATATGGAGGGATCCTTACAGCACATCCGGCACTTAACGCTAGGCGCACGTCCACCTGGATCCCTCCACGGTGCTTCACAGATAGCGACCATGTGCGCAGACTCACTCCAACATCTGGTCATTAAATTTGATGGTGCGTTCAGAACGTTCGTTCAGTACCTCACCATGTTCAAGTTGCCCAGAATACCACGACGAGCCGGTGGAGTTGCCTAGGATTCCAAAAGCTCCGTTTCCTGACGCTACAGGCCAAGGTCAAGAAATGCCGGGTCCCGCACTCCTTGATGGAGGTCATGGCCACCTCCCAGACCGTGTTCCCAACGCAGAAGTCGTGACCGTCATGATCGATGCGCAACATAAGGACGAACTGATGCATATTCGGCACCATCCCATTACCGACAACGCTCTGAAACAGCTACCGCGGCTGCGGGAGGTCGATTTTGATTTATTTGGGTTTTTGAGACCATCGGGGTTTGTGAGACAAATACTGCCTTTGGCCGGCGAAGCAGGCCTGCTGTCATTCTCATTCTCCACCTCTAGTCGGGACATCTATGACAGAGTCAATAACCCGATGCGATATTTCTCCAATTAGGGCACGCATTGATAGAGATACAGCACAGTAATACATTTTGAGACGAGTTACGATGCACAGATGATTTGGTGTGAAACGCAAGTCAACAGGATTGTGGCAAGCAAGTCACTGGGCTCCAATCGAGCCATAAAGCGCTGCTATAGAACTTGATTTCACGTACTATCTTCCTTCGAAGGATCCATACATCCGAGATGGATAGACTTTATACACAGGTAATGATCCAGCGGAGTCTCGGGTGCTGGAAGCATCCACCATATCAGCAAGGTATATATGTTTGATTCGGAAGCCTCGACGCGAGCGGCATTTGCAGAGATACTAGACGTAGTTTCAAGGACAGGGATATCATTCAACATCGAAACGCGGCTGATAAAGGCCCGGTAGAGGTGCCCATGCCTGCAAATGAGTCTTGTATCGAAAACTACCAGAGGAGTAAGCAGCAATCGCCCGTTCGACTCGGGCTCAGGCCATACGCCTTCGACCGCCTTGGGGAAAATCCGCAGCACACCGCAACAGATAACGCGTTTTCCAAAAGTCCCTTTAACTTCTCAAAGCTTCGCGCCACCCACTTTACGCTTGTGCTCCGCCTCCTGCTCCGCTTCCAAGCTCGCCCACTTGAGCTCATACATATCCTCCCTCTTCGCCCACTCCGCGTCGCTCCACAGCGGCAGCACCCTCGCCAGCGCCGCATCCACCCGCTCAATCGCATCGCGCAGCCCCTGCGCGTACGCCTGCTCGTCCGCGCCGAGGATATGGTACGCCACGAGCGACGACGCCTGCCTCCCCACTGTGAAGCCGTGCGGCTTCTGCACTAGGGGCTTCTCGCGAGAGGAGACCTGAGAGACGCGCCGCGAGCGCGTCATCTTCAATCTAGTAGATCGAGCCTAAGGCGAGCCCACGCGTTCGGGGCTCGAGCCTGTAATCCTGGCGAAAGGAGTCGTGTCACCCTTGACGAGGCTCTTGTAACCTAGAGAGGTGGGCAGATATGGATGCCCAGCCGGAGCGAGGATCTACGTGGTTGCACGGATCGCTCGAGCTCCCAGTGGGACTTAGAGATCGGGCGACATGAACATTGAGTGCAAAGATAAGATGCATTATGTAATCTACATTAGAACATCACAGGCATAAACAAGGACTAGGGCATACGCATAAGTGAGAATTAATATACAATATTATACAGTCGTCACAGAGCCCCCCAGGCCCTAGCGGTTGTTGAGGCCTTCCATTCGACTACTTCTTTTTCTTCGGCCGTTTTCGTACTCGGCGATGCGTGCGAGCTGGTCCGAGCGAGTTAGGAGCCGCTGTGTCCGAGAGCCGACTCTGCAAGTCGACGCCCAGACGACCGAACAGCGAGCCAGACCCTCCACCTTCCGCGAGGCGGTCGAGCAAGCTAGGGGTGGTTGCCACGCTGTCCGGGGGAGGTGTCGCGGAAGTCGGGCGAGATGCGCCGCGCGAAGACGGCGTCGAAGAACGGCGGCGTTTGCCACGCGAGCGAGAGCCGTGACGCGATTGGGATCGCGAGGGGAACCAGGGCGACGCGAGCGCGAACCAGGGCGACGCGAGCGTGAGTGCGAGCGCGATCGAGACCGCGAACGACGCGAACTCCTCCCTCCACGCGACGT